AAGGTACAGCGGAGAGCTCGAACCAGCTTCAACGAATACTCGTCTCGCTTGGGATTCGAATCCGATTAATTACCAACTAATTTGTTTCCTTTGACCGTCTGCCGATCGTCGTTTTCGCTCTGTTCGCTCTTGGTGAAAATTGCGGTCGGTCTAAGTTTACCTCTGCATCTACGCGCACACGCGTACGGGGCGAGATGCAGGTAAGTGGCGAGCGGCCGGGCATTTTCATTGCTACACCAACGTCCATCGGTAGACTCGTATGTGTGTTTCGAGATTAAATTACGAACGACTGGAAAGTGGTAAAACTCGTTTCCGTTGCGAAATATTTTTTTAGCAACGCGCACAAATATGCGTTTCCGTGCCGAGCAAACAGCGGTCGCACGTACCTGGCGTGCACTAGACGTGCGTATCACAAATTTATTTGCGCGAATGTTCGCGTAATATTTGCGCGCGACGGCTACGCGTTCGTTATTTGATAACGGTTACTCATCGACCACCGGATTTCGTGACATTAACCGCAGATGCGCGGTTCCCGTGTACCTACGTATCCAGCAACTACGAGCGCGTACAACGACCAGCAGTTATCGCCCAGCTGGACGCAATAGGTCGCTTCTAATTCTAATCATTATCGAGCAGCGGCAATCAACGTTTTTCGACGAACATGCGAACCGGGACAATCGCGCGAGTCGACGCCATTCATCGTCCGCGAACGAGTCAATTGCGTACACATGCGTCGATACTGCGATTTACCTGTTCTGCCTGTTTTGTTGTTTTAACATAGTTGACGCTCATAGAAATTCGGAAAATAACTCGCTCGGGTGAAATTGAAAAAGGGCTACCAGCTAAAAAAAAACTGCGTTTGATATATTAAATTTAAATTCGAAATTTCAATAGTGCTCGACTCTTTTGTAGCGCTAATGAAACGTTATTAAACCGTGCGACGCGTGTAGTCCCTTCGAGGGAACGAGGTAATAAAATCGATAACGGGAAATGCGACACGCGTGCATAGGTTTGCTTCCTTTTGCAGTTTCATTTCCGTGCAATCGCGGAACTGTGGACGCGTACCTCGATTCGAGATTCGATTACACGGTTGGCGTTAAAATTTACGAAAAAAAGAGGAGACATAAATGTGCTCGTCGCCGAACGAGACGAATGTGGTTTCAAGAATCAGAAATTTATCTCGCGTATCGAATTTGCCCGGATACGTTGCGCCGCGACCAATTTGCCCAGGGAAACGGGGTCATTTTTATTCTGATTTTTTTTTTTTCGCCTCGCCCTGATTCGATGAAAAAGAGATCGTTCGAGCAGATGCGAGATCCAAAAGCTCCAGCCTCGTTGATTCTACGCGATGCGACACGTATAAATTTCATCAAAGATTATCACGTCTATCGCTAGGGAACGCGAACGTCTCTTGGTAAAACCTTTGCGAGTTGTACGTAATTAGGTGATTTCTTGTAAATTTCGAAGCTTGCGTCTCCGGGTGATTTCGTCGAAATACCGGCTGTTGCCGAGCACGGAAGCTCGCCTCGTCTGCTCGTTGCCTTCTCGTCGGCATTAGCCGATAATAATAATTAAGTTGAATTAGCTCGCTGGTTAAGGGTTTCACGTTAAAAAAAATGCATGGAACGCGAATCGGGTATCGCAAAGAGAAAGATGAACGAACGTTTTCGAGACTGTTCGCGAACACGGTTCCGTACGTATATCGAGGACGCTCCTCGTCGGTCCGCGTTAACGAGCTTAGTTTAAACACTCGTTAGAGCAGGCTCGATCGTTGTTTCGAGTAACCAGCTACATCTGGTTCGCGAAACGACGAGAGGAGAGGAGTGCAGCCGCTTCGTCGATCCGCGTTACGTCGTATCTCGCTGTGCTGCGAAAGCTGCTTATACGCGGGGCGCACTGCTATCTAGTATCTACGCGTCTAAATACGCGTACAAAATTAGTAGGAGATTCGAATTCTGGATCGTTGAGCGAACTGTTCGGATCTGCGTACGTTCCGATCTGAACGCGGTTTAAAATGGAATTAAGACACCGATCTAACGGGATCGAGTATCTGTTGGAGGATAGCGAGACGATTCCTTTGTGACGGAGGGACATCGTAGAGTAGAAGAAAAGGATTTGCTCTTAAACGAAAACGTCCAAGCGAAAACGTATCGATTGCCCGAGGCACCGGAAAATTACCGACATTAATCTCGGAACCTTTAATTAGGAAGGGCCGTGACAAACCGTGGGAAATTTTTATCTAACTCCCTCTCCATTTGGCTGTCCCTTCGGGCCAGTAATTTTTCCGCGATATATATTTCGTTTCTCCTTTTTCCTCGCCGAACATTTTTCGTTAATACCTTCCTACATGTGGAACGTATCCCTACGCTCCGTGTAATATACCACCTTTCCAACTACGCCAAAGTCGAAAGAACGTTGCTCCTCGCGCATTTCTATCGCGTTTCGCGTTTTTGGCTTCTACATAGGTACATACCATCGTGCTCACGAGCGTAAGACCATCTTTTGTTATGTACGTCTGAAATGAAGAAAATCGTAGAGGAACCGTGCTCTCATCCCGTGCCCCGTGGCCCCGATAGGTTCCGTGGAAATCTGGGTACAACCACGCAATATCTCTACTCTAATATAGAAATCCATGCACCCAAACATCGTTAAAGAGTTGCTCACGGATCAGTAGCTCGCGAAGACGCCTGAAGAAAATATCTTGGTAAACTCGCGAATTTCTTAACCTGAAACTCGAGGCAAGACGATGAAAACTTTTAGAGAGCGAAGAATACCGCGGCGCAGCGTTCTCAAGTCTCATGGAGTGACAGCGTTTCGGAAAGTTAGTCGCAATTAAAGGGAAATCATTATTCGTTGCCGGTAACGTGTGTCTGAACAGAGACGCTACGTGTTCGTCGATACGCGACGAACTGATTCGCCCCGATCTCGTTGCTAACCCGGCTACGATCCATTTAATCGCTCCGTTAAAGTTCGTTTAAAAAATTTCCGATACGCTTCTTACAATTAGATTCTTCGCTGATCAACGAGATTACGGATAACGGAAAACTTTATTCTCGGTGAACCTTCGAGAGAACGTTATAGCTAATTATCGGAAGAATTTTATTGCTCCCTTCTTCGATTAGAGCATTATTTAAATTACGCCAGTTTCTTTCCCTCCTCGCGTTTTTATCGATTTCCCTATTCGATTCCCCGTAAACTCTCTTCCTCATTCTCCCTATCCACGATAAGATTGTAAGCGAGACGCGGACCAGTTGCGCCCAGAACGAGCTGAGGGAAATCCGAATTTCGCGAATTACCCAAGAACCCACGAGTATCAGTAGCTTTCAGCGTTGAAGGGTCATCGACTTAATTAGGTATTAGGTATTAGATATTAGGTAGCAGCAGAGCAAGAAGTTCATGAAACATGTAGAAGCTCGTGAAACATGTATGGTAAACCGTGCACAGTTTCGTTGGACTTGGTTCAACAACAGGGTTAGCTCGATCCTTAACTCTCGACTGCTAATATTTAACCGTTTCGATGGCTGAAACGCGTTTAGCTCGAAATCTCTCTGCCTTCTGTACTACCGAATAATATCGATGCTGTCACAGTCAGGGAATTGTCACACGCGTGTACGTGCGTACGTTTCATTAAAAATTTCCGCGGGGAACACTCGTTTGAGAGAATCCGTAGTACGAGGTTAACGGGGCTGTATTACTGCGCGGACGGCAAGTCGAGAAGGTACGGTTCTGGTGCGACACACGTGCATACGGTAGCGCACCTGCAGTTTGCTCGTTTCAGCTCACGTTCCGCGCGTGCATCGGCGTCAAAGAAGCGTACATTCGCTACGCGAGGATGAAAGAGAAACAGAAAGGAAAGAGACGTGGGGGGAAAGAGAGATAGATAATCCCTAGGTAACGAGGGTACGGGTAAACCGAACCGAGAAATCCTTCTGATTTCCATATCGTAATTAATTTCTCATTTAGCCAGTGTGCTCTCCGCATTAATTATATGTCCCGCGACGATGCTCCAACCATACATATCTAATTAGTTTGGTTTCGACTGGGACTTCCAAAGAGTACCACGGTCTATAGACCTCGATTAATTCGCTAAACCTCCGCGCATTGCTAACTCTAAATCCGCACTTTTCTCTTAACGTTTCCTGTCCCTCGACCGATGCGACCTAAACTCGTCTAAACTTTCGGTCTCTCGTCGCTTCGTCGAGTTTTCGTCTGTATACAGCAGCGTTCGGACCTTCCTATTTCCTCTTAAGATAAGTTGAAATATTTTATGCTCCATAAATATCAGCCTCGTACACGTACTCTAAACTTGTTCAGCGCAAAAACAAGGAGGGTACGGGAAAGTTGGGAGATCTTATCTGCTTTCGGTTTTCGCGTCTACATACGTGCGATGCGTAAACGTTAATTAGAGAGGACGGCGTATATTCGATATGTAATACCGCGTCGGACCAAACTCCAGTTGCCGTCCGTACGAGTTTGTAAAAAGAGCATGAGTCGCACCTTGGTGACCAATTGCCATTACGTATTCACGTACGCTATAGTGGAAAGTTTCGCAACGAGCTACACCGAATCCGCGTCCGCGTATTCCGTTAGACGTTGTTTCCGATATCTCCCTGGCCGCGGCTTGCAGGGAAATGCATAAATAAATTAGGAGAAAAAAAGTTTCGCGCGGCAATTTGCGTTAGTAGTCGTTTCTCCGTTTCCCGACGCATAGCACGCGCCATGGTTCTGAAATCTAACGTCCGTCCGCCGTAGCACGTTCGTGCACCCATTTTAACAAATTGTTTTTCCCCTCGCATGCGTACGTGACGCGTAGGGAAAAGTTTCTGCATTGCATATTCCGGTATTTCGTTCGGCAAACCGATTATTCGCGTACATACGTAGTACGTGTATTATACAGTGCGGATATATATCGCGTACGTAGCCAATTATTTTAATAGACGATCATATTATTCGCATTACGCGTTTATTATGGATTAAAACAACGTGGAGAAAGTACTTACTCGGGTGGTCCGGCTCGACGTTGTTGGCGTCTTCCTGACTGGATACGGTCTTCTTCGACGGTGCGTTGGCGGCAGAGGTCGATAGCTGGATGCACGTCACCACGATCAGTATCCACAGCATACTGGCGATCGTCTCTCGACGGGTTCACCATCGAATCATCCTAACGACCGCGACGCGACGTTCGTGCGCACTATATTCGTATCTCGTACTTCGCGCCAATCTCTCCGTGGCAGTTTTCCTCTGTCGACGATAAAAAGAAACGTGATCGAAAGTTTCCTTTCGTCAGACGAGTAGGGACACGTTGTCGCGACCATGTACAGGAACGATCGTCCGAACGGTCTAAAGTCTAAAGTGGTCGGGAGTATAAAGAGAGGCTTTGCGATGGGCAATATCGAGTTTGCGGATGCTTTGAGAGCGACGCGCGGCCTATCCTGACCAAACGCGATATAGACTTAGCATCTACGTAAATAGATCGTAAAGCGGTCTACGATTTCCGGAATGTTCTCTTTTATGACTTATCAAGCGATACTCGAAATCGTGGTACGCGTTCACCGAACGAATAGCGTGTACGTGGAGTATGTATAGAGTATCGAGTATGACGAGAGAGAGAGAGAGAGAGAGAGAGGGGGAGAGAGAATCGACAGGACGCGACGTCAGCTCGGAATTCGATTCCTGTGATCGGCGTTTTACCCTGGACTCTCGCCGAACACGTACACCGTCTACGACACTTTGTAAGTACTTTTTACTCGTCGACCCTTTCTCCTCTTTTCTCGGGAAGGAAAAGACACGGGACAGGATGGTACGATAGGAACGTTACCGTATTGGTATCACGAACGGGAAAAGGGAGTTGTCGTTTCGATGTGTTCTCTCCACTTCACGTTGGACACGCAAGGTTACTTCTCTTCTCTCCTCTCCTCTCCTCTCTTTTCTCTCTCTCTCTGTCCCTCTCTAATCTCGAGATCCGACTGGAACACTCGCACGCCGAGCGTGTAGTACGGTACGCGCGACTCGGGATCGACGTCACGGAAACGCACGTTCGTTCAACGACCAATTTCCATTGATCGTCCTAATTCTTCGAGTCCGACCGGTCGAGAGAAAACGTTTCGATTTCGGATTTACGGATTTAACCGGTTTATCTTTTACCTAGTTTAGACGACGTCCGAGTAAAACGGAGGAAATCTTTTACTTTTCGTCTGGAACGCGATCGCGGTCGATTCGTTCTCTAACGAAGCATTTCGCACGGTCGCGGTCGAAGAAACTCTCGGCGAAAGCTCCGAGGTAAATATTTCGAGAAACCTTCGAGACTGTTTACGCGCGGGCAGCAAGTAAGCTTCAACCGCTTAATAACCAATGAAATCGTAAATCGTAGCTTTGGGATTAACGAGAAACGTACAAGATAAATGCGTTAAGTTTCTTTAACCAAAGTTACAGCGATTCGACTTCGTCTGGATAAAGATCGGTTAAAAGTTTTCGGAACGCGACGTCGCGAAAAATAGGATCTGGAAAATATTCGTACAATCGTCTCGGCTAATCTTACGGCAGGTTTTTCATTGCCAGGATTTCCGGAAGTTCGGTACAACCAGTTATTCGTACTTTCGTTCATCGACAGCGCTTCCGTTCTCTTGGCTTTCAACCGTGAAGTCATTTCCGCGAAGAGGTCCGGTTTCAAGAGGTTGACTTCTTTTCTCGCGCAATTCCATGCTCCGTTTGCCTAAGTTTATCGATAGGCACTTGGAACGTCTAACCGTCAAACTCTGAACATCGCGGTAGACGCGGCTGTGTTGGTAGCTAGCGTCAGTTCGCGAACGTACCGCGCGTACGTGTGTCTAAACATTTTCGGAGGGACCGTGAGGAAACCTCGGAAACTTTGATTCGAGTCGAGAGCAGAGTAGAGCAGGAATTAATTTCAATCGCGCATCGTAGTTACGTAACGAGCCACGTGGTAGCGAGAAGAGGGAGCGAAGCGTACCGCGCACCTAACAGTATCATTAAGAAATTGCGTTATGGTTTCGCTCGGGAGTACTTCGCGTTACGAACTACCTCTATTTACCCGAAACTATTCCCGCGCGAGAATGTGTACGGATATCGCGTATCGTGCGTAGCTAGGAAAACTCGGTTAACAGTTTAGCCTCTGGTACGCGATATTCGACGAATGGCGAACAAGTGACACGATGATCGCCGGTTCGTGCATCACCGATCGAAAGTTACTATTTTTTATTTCCACAGAGAGGAACGGACAACGAATCTCCGACCGCCCGTGTATTGTACGTACACCGTACGGCACCGTACGTACGACACCACAGTCGCGCGTCGGTTCGACTCCAATCGACGTCGACAAAAACAGAAATAAAATCGAGCAAGCGTAATTCGCGATATTCTTTCTTCTCTTTTCTATCGCCGCTGTCCTGTCCTATCGTGTCTCGCGTTCCGCCTCGTTCGATTCGATCGACGAGGATTCAGCTCGCGTTGATGGATGGTCGACGTTCGTCAACGTTTCAGAGGGAAAAAGAAAAATGAAAACCAAGTGGCCTTTCAAAAAAGAAACCCCGCACCTGAAGTTACCGGGCATACGTAATTTGGCAGTACATCTCGATGCGTCGGTCTTACGACAGTACTGAATAAATCGAGAAAAGAATAGATATTTAGATGTTGCAGTTTAGTTCTTTTTACTCCCGGTTCGATTCGAATAAATAACGAGATCGTGCGTTGCTCGATGCTCGCTCGCATCGTATCGGCGGAGCGCTCGCGCGGATCGGGATGAAATGCTGGCCGGCCGACGCGTTATCGTGAATCTTCCTTCCCGTTCAGCCCGTCGGTTTTGTTAAACGTCTCTAAAACCGAATCGATACGTTATCGGGAATGGAATTCGTAATATAAGGTAGGGGCCGCGGGCAAATTTATCGTTCGCTAAACGGTCGCTCTCTACGTGCCGCGAGAGAATTACATCGACGGCGAATGCTCGCGGAAAATGTTTGTTTCCCGGCTAAACGTAATACATAGACTTACTCGGTTCGCCGATAAATCGATAAATTCCGGCTCGTTGGCGTTCGAATTCTTTGGCGGCAGCAACGAACGCGCGGTTATATTTATTCCTTATAACGCGCTTGGTGTCGCGCACTTTTCACCTCATCGCTTCCTCGGCCGCTCGACCGAGAAGGAAATTCGAGTTCCGCGCGACCGGCACGTGTCGTCGCTACGTATGTACCGTCGCTCTCGTCATCGGTCGTTAGACGCTCGTTTCGTTCCTCTCACTCGCTTCGAATCCCGATCGACGTCTCCGGATCGTCGCATCGACCGCGAGTACTCGTCGGGTGTTCGCGCACTGTTTCCATCGGTCACACTCGTTCACTCGTTCTCCTTCCCGCGGCAGCGATACTGGCGAGTGCAACGACGCCGAGATAAAATGCGCATCGCGTATCCAACAGATTAATCGACCGCGACGTAAACGAACTCGCGATTCACCGGCTACTACCTAACTTGCCCGTAATTTCCAGCGCAGGCGACCCTTCGGAGTCTAGTAGACGCGGCGCGATTTGTTTTAACGGAATGAATACGCGCAAACCGCAACAGTTTTCGCGATCGAAGACATCGCGCACCGGACAAGGTACGATGGTTCGAGTTCAAATTCGGTCGTCGCGAAAAGCGATGCGCGCGCGACGAGTTCCGCGATTGCACTGAGGCGGTATCGGACGCTGTGCTGGTGGCGACGGCCAACAGTGCCGAGACAGTCGAGTGCCGACGAACTTTCGCGCACGGATATCATCCTCGCGCTTCGACCTGCGCTCCCCAAACTCGCTTCCTCCCTCTCGCTCTTCACCTGTTCCCGCCCCGCATCGTTCTCGTTCCCGTCCCTGTCCCTCTCACGGTACCGCGCGTCCAAGTCCACCCGCGCCGCGCCGTCCCGACAACCCCGACCCGACTCGGTTCGCGCAAGCTCGATAATCTTCGTGCGAGCTCGTAACCTCCGTTCTAAGGATAAAGTGCAGGAACCTGGCCGAAAGGCAAGGAGTTGGGACCCCGATCGAAACAAGAAAACAGCCGTGGCGGAGGGTGGACTTGGGAAAACGTGCTTTTCCATTCGCGTTTCCGGCCGACAACGTCTAAAAAATGTGCGATACGCCTCAGCCACGCGCCGCGCCACGCTGCACTGGGAACTCGAGATTAAATGAAATCACGGGTCTCGATATCCACGGCCCTTTCTCTTACCCGACGGTAATTAACCGATATCGATCGCATCCCGACTTAATTATCGAAATTAATAAAACCGCGAATCACGAATGGATGAACTAGGTGTAATGAAAACATCGCTGATCGTAACTTTCAACGCTCACGATCACGTAAATAGGTCAAAACTAGGATAGGTAATATTCATTGGCGAGAGCATGGCGTCTACTCCTCGGGACAAACTCGATCCGAAACGAACGACGAGTTTGTAGTCGACAATGTCCGAAACTCGTGCTACCAAAACTAAAACGAACCCGATCCATGATCCGCGACCCGCGACTAGCACGGTTCGCGAAGTTCAGATGTCTCCATCGAATCGAGTAGAGAAAGTTTATTCTCGCGCGATAGAAAATCGCATGCCGTGAAGGAGAACAACGTACTGGAAACGTGTTATGTCGATCGTGATTCGATCGAACGCGATTTTCTCTGAATTGTCGTCGATAATTTCAGCCAAGCGACAAAAACGATCGAGTGAGATCTAACTTTTATCACTAAGATCAATATTTATCTACGAAACGATGATACGAAAGATAATTCTTGCGAGTACAATCTATATTTTTCCCAATTTCGTGAAGCCCCGTTCCATCGATCCTAGAGAATACGTTGATTCGAACCGAGGGAAGAATTCGCGAGATTTGTATTGATTCACCTTGCACGATTCCGCGGAATGGAAATAACGTTTTTGTTGCCAGCGGCTCCCGTATTTGCAATTTGCAAGGCACAAAAGAGTGGCGTACAGTTATATCACGTACATAACATACATTTATATCACAGATTGCGAGTACGTATGCATTTACTCCTGAAAAGCATGCATACTTATTAATATATGACCATAGGCTGTGTACCTATTCGCGGATTGTCGCGGATGAGAAATGAAAATTTGTAGAAAAACCTCGAGAGATTATATGACGTTTGAATCGGTTCTGGTTTCCCCCTTTTGCAAACAGCTCTATTTTGTCTTCCATATATTGTACATACGACATGTAACCTTAGCTATACCTAGCCGTTTCTGTGCCTAAGTAATTACACATGTGTATAGAAGCGTGGCATCTGCGCGCGTAAACTTATGCGCGGAGTATGGTGCCATGTCGGGATATATCCCTCGGATGGATTCGTATACGAGGACTCGCGATTGTTACACCGAGTGGCTTCGACGATAAAGCGATATAGGCTTGCATAGTATATGCACATACACGTGTACTTACGCTCGTAGCTTCTGTCGTCTAAGTCTAAGGGACCGCCAAGGATAATCGCGAGAGTGAAAGCGGGGTCGATTGAGAACGCATAACGAGATTAGTAGCGGAGTAAATGAGTTTAGTAGGTATGATTTCGATGGACTCGGAAATGGTACGAGAAAAGTTGAATATCGGATATGAATCGAACGGTGTAGGCGAAATATTTGAAGATAGAGAAATCTATTCGTAAAGGAGGAGGTTGGACGAACTTCTCTAAATTTACTCCCGAAGCTGGTGACTTCGTAAACGTTCCCCAAAGTCCCTCTCGTAAAGCGGAAAGCGATTGGAATCCGAAAGCGGGTAAAGCCAGCGAGTCGGAAACGCTCGATACGGCACGGCAGTCCACTTTTCGGTTTCGAAAGGGAAACGAAGAAAAAGAAGCCTGATATGGGAACGCTTAGGCTACCCGAAAGGAGGAGAGGATCTTCTTTCGCGGATTTTGCATCGACGTGGTTCATCGATATACCTGTTCGTATTACGCGCTGTCCTCTGCTCTACGCGGAATTAATCGGGCAACGTTGGTCATCCTCTCGGTAGATTCCTTTGTTTTTACGATCGAGACGTAAGAAGTCGACGTTCCGATTCGTGGCCGATCCATTTTCCGTGGTTGAAAAATTACTCCGAGATTTGTGTCATGATGCTCCTCCTCGGAGGGTAGTAGGAGACAGAGATTGTTCGATCGTTCGTTAAGACGGTGACCAAGCGTAACCTCCGGATATAAGTTGGGAGGGACACGAACGTGGGTCGTAACGAGGACTCGAACGGGCGGTGGATTACCATAATGCTGCTATTCGAGCGCGTCCGATGATTTTTCGATACGAGGAGGAGTACGATCCTACATACGGATACGTGTCCGTAAGGGTGATGACACGGCCGAAAACGATCGTAAGCTGGAAATTCGAAGGCGGAAGTTTGCTACGGGAGTTTCGCGTTTATTCGAGTTTTATCGGGTCGAACGCGTGCTGTGAAGAAAAGACGAGGAATCGTAATTTCGTGGCAAGTGAATCGGAATGTGGCTCTGCGGCCCGGCGCGCTGGGACGATACTTGAAGACTAGGAACTCGAAATCCGTGCGATCAATTAATCGGCTCGATGCCGCGCTGGATGGGTTCATAAAAGGCGATTCGATGGGCCATTAATCACCATAACATCGCGATTCAGTCGCTTAAAATGCGAATACCCGCACCATCGGTACGATCTTTGAACTCGCCGGCCGGACCTCTCGATGCTATCCACGTTTTGGTCTCGTTCTTCGGGCTTTTAGGTCCGGTCGGCCAGCGCGGTTTCAAACACGAATGGATGCAGTAGTAAGTACCACGGTAGTTATAAACGTCCGCCTGATTTTCGACGTCTCGCGCCGAAGACGAAGCACGAGAACCATTCGTCTCTCGAATAATACGCGAAACGGGTAATTCCGGCGTTAAGGGATGAGTAACGAGTAGTCGTAATCCTCTAAATCTCTCGAGAAACATCTTTTCCTCGGTGCCGGTTCGTCCTCCGACTTTCTTTTTCAATTTTACGCAGAGATAAAAGCCGAGGCGAGTATTCACGGTCGGTCGCAAAGCGGGGAAGAAGCTAGGATAATGAACGCTTCGATTTGCTTTAATTGACGGATTTCTCGTCGTTAACAAACAACTATGCAGATATTCTCTTCTCTTCCGCGGGGAACGCGTTTTATTTGACATTTTCGCATCGTTCGTCGCGTACGAAAGTTACGATAAACATGGGATCGGTATTCGACGATAGGAACAAGAGGCGCAGCAACACCATAAATATCTGTGGATCATGGCGCGTCGTTATACCGATAAGGTCGACGCGATTGTTTTGTTCGCTCGTGTGTAATTAATGCGAAACGCTGCAGCATTGTCAACGATTTCCGTGTACGTAGCCACGCATTTAAAAACATGTATACGCGAAATGCGCGGCTCCATTCTCTACCTAGGCGCCGTCGCATCGAACCGAGTTCAAGTATGAAGAAAATAAAGCGAAGAGCGAAAAATATCGAGCGCATAATTTGCCGATTGTATTGGCTATATAGTCAATCCCCAAAGTTAATGTACTTTAGAAAAGCATTTTTTAAAAAGAAATCAGACGTCGGAAGAAATTTGCTAATAATAAACAACAAAAAAAAATTTTCGATTTTTCCGAGATTTTTCCAAGGGGTACCCCTTCAGATTTCGCGAAATTTTCGTTTTTGGCCAATAACTCCCAAACCGTTGAATCTACGGGAAAATTGCATAGAACCTTTCTTGTAGAGGACGACGAGATCTATAATTCCTGTATAAAAACTTTTCGCTAGCGTCAATAGTTTACGAGTAATTTGCATAAAACTGTTTTTTCGTTTTTCGTCAATAACTCGTAAACTATTAAAGCTAGCGAAAAAGTTTTATATGGAAATTGTAGATTTCGTCGTCCTCTACAAGAAAGGTTGTATGCAATTTTCCCGTAGGTTCAACGGTTTGGGAGTTATTGACGAAAAACGAAATTTTTTGTCAAAAGTTCGCAGTTTCGACGCTGGAATGGTCGGATTTTGTCAACATCAATAAAATGCTAAATAATCATACTTAACTCGTTAAATACTCAAATTAGAAGAAAAATACATAGAATCTTTCGTGTAGAGCACGTCAATAGCTACAATTTTTGTATATACGTCAATAATTAATTGGATATTTCCTTCTATACTTTTTAGCACGTAGCTATTTATTATTAGCATTGTTCTTCCGACGTCTGATTTCTTTTTAATTATAGGAAATGCGTTTTTCTAAGGTACATAAACTTTTGGGTTTGACTGTATAGCCAAAACATTCTTAACAGCTCCAGACAGCGTTCTCATCTATGTACATGCGTACGTATATATTACGTGAAGTACATCCTGGTTGCAGCCGTGTCGTCGCGCTTTTTTCGTTCATCCTTTTTCGAAGTTTGCGTTTTCGTGGAAACCGAAACGCTGCGCGCCGTACCGTGCTGGTCATAAATTAGCTATATTGGAATCGCGAAATCCTCGTTCATGAATTACTCGTCGTTTTAATCGACGTTCGTGCCCCTAAATTGCTAATGAACGTTGCCCAAGTACCGATTTCCAACCGATGCGATAGATGTACACGTGTACGTGCACGGGTGCACTTATACAGCTGCGCGACGTACTTATGTATACATATACGTATAATCGAACGTCTGCGTCGAACAACGCGAATTCGCAAACGCTGCTCCCTCGAACCAGGCCCGCCTCTCTTCCGCGTCTTCGTCTAGGAAAACGAGTAAAAATAGGCGAAAC